AGTAGTTATGCCAGGATCTCATAGTATTTAGTCACGGGGACCTGGCTGGGAAACTAGGAGGGAAACATTATTTGGACATATTTCCCACTTTGTTTGTTTTGCTTCTTTATTTTATTTTATTTTATTTTTTTCGGTACTGGCATTGGAGTGTGTTGGAGTTCTTGTATGGACATGCTCTATTCGGGTCTTTTGCGATTGGCATCTGTTAGCTATTCGGTGGTTTCTTTTCTTTCGTCATGTTTTTCTTCATCCTCCTGCTTTACTTTGTGATGGGATGGAATATGAAATGGGAGCGGGGTCCAGGCGCTTGAATATTGGTTCTGATTTTTCCTAAACCTCTTTTATTTTTTTTATTTTTTTATTTTTTGATGTTTCTCCCATGTTCTACCCTATTCCAGTATATCCATTTTTTTTCGTTTCAATCCCACACCCTGGTGGAAGACCTTCATTGAATTTTTTTTTTTTTTTTTTTTTTTTTTTTCACTTTTCATTTTTTTCTCTGCAACTGCATTCAAACATTTTCTCACCCCCTTCCCAATGCTACAAGTTGTGACCTTACCGCTTTAACCTCTATTTACCTGCTCCACATCTCCGTATCATCTTGGGAACTTTCCCTCGCCCCTTGGTTTATGTACTCTTATTTCATCTTATAAAGAAATGGATCTGGATGTGAACGCCATGCCCGCGCGTATGTCTGTATCTATGTCAACGTTATGACCATTTTCAAAGGAGTTAGCTGCAGAATCTGGACGGACAAGAGAGAACATGGGAAGCGAGTTCAATAAAATTATTTTTTATGTTTTTAGTCTTTATGTATATCTCATTTTTTTTTGGTCCTACATCATTTTCTCTTACTTCGCATTCCTCCTGAAATGCGTGAAAACAATAAAAGTAGGGGGGATAAAGACGAAAAAAGAAAAAGCCAAAATGTCATCATCATTCATCATCGTTCTTCATAAGACATTGAGATATTAAACCTTCAACCCCCTTTCCAATAGCTTCCTCAGGCCCTCAATAACATCCACTATTGCTGTTTCTTCACCACCACCATCACCACCACCATTTATAGCGGGAACATCTTGCGTCTCTTCCCCTCCCCCCTCCATCTCCAGCTCCTGAATAGCCCCTCTCAACATATCCAGCACGGCAGCATACTGAGCAGAGCCACGCCCGAAGGTCGAGAGGGTGTTGGACAGATTTGCGGATATCTAGGAAAGGGGCGCAATAATTAAGATATACGGCGCCAAGCGAGTCGAACAGGGATGGATTGGGAAAAAAGGGAGGAAGGGTTATCTGATCGTGAGTTCACCAGAGGCTTACTTGGGCGATTAGATCCGGCGATGTCGCGCTGGGAGAAGCAGCTTGTGGAAGAGAGGGCATCTGATATATGAAAGCAATGGGAGATGCTTGTGTCGAGTCAATACGGCTTTGTTGGTGGGTGGCGGGGAGCTGGAGAGATGAAGGTCCAGAGATGGTGAGGATGGTATTAAGGAGGAAACGTTACATTCATGGGATAAATTAATTCGTTATTTGTCTCACATTATCTTCTCTAAAAGAAAGTGGGACATTTGCAATCTCTAATAGGAGAGAAATGTCGTTCGTATACGGAGTAGTTATAGTAGTTGTATGGTTGTTTCCCTTATCGATAAGGCCGTCACGTAACTTTCACCGTAATCGAAATGATTTTTTTGAGCTCACTGTCTTACAGAGACACCAGCTCTTCTTTCCAATCGCAACCCCAATTACAGATGGCTGAATCAAAAACGAAGCTACATCAACCTTTGTCTGCTAAACACCTCTACGAAGGATCTATCCACTCCACAGTACTAGAGCACCATGGCCGACGCTGACGAAGATGCCCTCATCCAACCTCCCTCCTCCCACGACCAATCCGCCCACATAGACCAAGACCTATCCGATGAAACTCAAGACTTTCGCTTCCTGAACTCTCTGTCCTTGTATGTAACACGGCACTACGACCTCCAGCTTTAAATAAACAAGCTCGATTTCCCTCCTGGCTGACCCATCATGACTGTAGCCTCCCTGACCCGAACCAACCGGCCTCCCTCCCACGCCGGGGGGAAAAGGACTTCGAACCAAACCCGACACTACGCCAGACCGATGTCCTCGCCGCGTCGCGCGATGCTATGCACAATGCGCTCGCATACCCAAGGCTACACAACCCGAAAACGCGCGTGGTGGGCATCTACTGTCCGACGGGGCTGTTAAGGCCGGCGCACGCTGAAGGATCCGACAGCGCGGATACGGAAAGTGGTGGCCAAGTAGCAGTTAACGAGGAAAGGAAACAGGAGGAAATTTGCAAAGTGGAGGATAGAAATGAAGAACAGATAGTGCTTCCGAAAAAGAAAAACCGTCGACCTCATGGAGTCGGTAGGAGCACCTGTGTCTGCGTCCCCAGTCCGCGGGGTCAGCATTTTAGGACCGTCGGCCGATCCGATAAGTGGAATCGCATGTGGCTGCTACCTGAAGAAGCTCTGTACCTGCTGGAAAGGGGCAGCTTGGATATCCGGTGGCCTGCGCGGGCGGGAGGACATGGAGCCAAAAGCGCCGTCACGGAACATGGAGAAAATGTGGAGGATGTGGACGGAGGAGTCCCAATGAGTTTACAAGCAGCATACGCATGCTTCCTCGGACGTGGGGGATTAACATTGCAACGGTATATTGTCTACGCGAACCTGAGGAGGGGTGGTTATGCAGTGATTCGTGCTCCAAGTTGGGATGACTGTGATGGCAATGATGACAACAGGGCAGTTAATCAGGTTGCAACTGATGCGGCCGTTGCAACGACTGGAGCTGGGATACGTGCACATATGGAGCAGAGCCGCGGGGGTTTAATCAACTTGCTGACGCGATTTTTCAACTCACTATTTGAACCCGGGCCTGTACGACGCTTAGCCCACGGGCCCGTCATCGGGCTAGGTATACATCGTAACTATCGTGCGTCATAAACCCAAAACCACATCCTAGCCCTAGAAATCCACCAAAAATCATCAGCCCTGACCACATATTTAACCCCCCCCCTTTACAGATGATATTTACCGCGCCCTCTCTATAATCACAGCCCATAACCCAGAGCACCCCGAACCCACTTCGCCCAAACACACTACGCCCCCCTACCGCCTGGCTTACTACGTCTACAAACCCTCCACCCCCTTCCGCAAATCTACTCCAGGAACCCCTGACTTCCGCCTCGCCGTCATCGACTCCCGCCGCAACCCTACCCTTCCCACTCTCCACGAGTTATCAGCGCTGTTGGAAAGCACTCCGTTCGACCCGCCGCACGGCGAGAAGATGGAACGGCTGACGTATATGCGGCTACGGCATGGGTGGCGGAATGTAATCTTGGCGGTGGTGGACCAGGGGGTTGTGAGTTTTTTGAGGGTGGCGGATGCCGGTTTTGGTGGGGTGCGGGTTTATGAGAAGAGTGCGCCCAGTGGGAATAAGGGGGGAGGGCGAGGGCGAGGAGGGAGGGGAGGGCAAAATGGCCGTGCTGGTGGTGGCCGTGAGCGTAGGAGATAGAAAAGTTGTGATCAAGGAGGTCTTTTTGGTTGGCTTTTTTTCTTCCCTCTTCTTCTTTTAAATCATTACGACTGGAGAAAGCAAGAGGTCAGAGATTTGAGGATATGTAATCTCATCGATATGGCAAGGAATGTAACATAGATACAAAGTCTTTGTGGGGCTGTATAGAGCCGCCGGAAACGTAGAAAATGAGAAAAATCATATATGATCTCGAAAGCCCCCCAAACGTACCACCAAGCGATTCCCTTTTTGCTACAGGATATCTAGCTATGTGAGCCGGCAGTTTGACTTGGTCTGAACGATGCATATGTTTTGCCTTTACCTGACGGAGTAAGACACACCAAATCGGCTTGGAGATAAACCAGGTCAATCTTCCCATTGCAATATTAGACGTTTCAATCTATGGGCAAAGCGTCGCAAATTGTACGTGGATTTGGTCAGAAGGAACGTGATGCGTTGATGGGATAATACGCGATTGATAGCGTCAAGAACACTCGATGCGAAGCCAATTCCCATTTTATATTTGTGCCCCGTGAATCTAACACCTCATTTTATTGTACTTAAGCTGGGTTTCTATAACTATCCTCCGTATGAGAACGCCTGATAACGCCTGATAACGCCTGCGCCGGCTTCCCGTTTTTCCACGAAAAGGACGAATATTCACATATACTGCGCCTCACCTCATGCTAAATCCAACAGTTAGCCACCCCACCTATCATCTATCAATATAGGCGGGAAACAGGAACCTACTGTCTAAATAATCGGCTGCAATTAGTAACTCCAGACACAGCTCGAGTGGGAACTCCATGTCTGGTACGTTGCTCTGGCCCTTATTCCGTTCATTGTAAAGGAGATATTCACACACTTTCTCAAGCACGACTCCACTGTAAGCTGTCTGTCAGCGTGATGCTTTTTGCCCCTTGGCTCTAAAAACGCGCCAAGGCCGGTTTCAACATGGGCAAGAAGAGGGAAACAACAAACTTCATGTTCTCGAAAACACAGCGGCCAGTGGCGGCTTCAGAAAAGTTGCCTAGTTAAACAAGGTTAGGTATGAAGATATGAATTGGTACAGGGCGGCATGGGTGAAATGATATCTCACTTGCTGGATCTAGCATTCGCCGTATGGTGCCAGACACGCAGGCGGCGGTCCGGGGGATTATGAATTCGAAGCCATCTTTGGAAGCAAGAGTGACGTACTCCGATGGGGTCTGTTTGGCGGACATGACCGTGGGAGTATGCGCGGGATTATATAGGTAGCAAAAACTGAGATGAAACGCCTAAAACAGTGGTAGATCCATCTTGGTGCTGGTGCTGGTGCTGGTGCTGGTTAGATGGTTAGTTACTATAAAATAGATATGTAGGCATATTGATTGATGTTGAGGCTCCATTTTAAGCTTATGTTTAAGCGACTAATGATATGGATATCTTCTGGTGTCATGTGCTCTCCTGCAACAAAAACAGGGCAATTGGTTTAGTGGTATAATACCCCCTTAGCATCCTCTTCCTAATTCCGAATTGGGAAGGAGCGATGGGGGTGGTCCAGGGTTCGATTCCCTGATTGTCCATGCTTTTTGAAGTTGGTATCTCTTTTTTTTTTTTTTTTCTTTTTCCTTTCTTTTCAACCCGGATGTTATTTTAGTAGTTTTATTATAAATTTATCTAGCGGTCCAATTTATCTCCACGGATGGTTGTGGAAATTTTGTGCTCAGATGCACTAAATTCCTACTATCTTGTGAGCATCGAAAGCTCAACGAAGCAATCCCAATCTAGGACAATCAATCAAGTGGAAAGATAATCTATGCTTACATTGACTCAAGTTTATATATATATTCAAATGGACCGGCAAGTGGCAGGCGACTCACACCAGTATCCCTTGAATTTCACCATTAACTAACTCGAACACCTAGGAACTATTATCTAACGCTCCAATAATATATTATTGTTGAGAAATTTATCACAATGCTTCTGGGCCTCTCTCGATTGCCTTCACGGCTCCAGCCACGCGGGGTGTTATCTAACGGCTTCCTAGATCCTCGCACCCGGGCAGTGACATGTTCGTTACATACTCAACGGCGACATGCAATCGCTCGGGGGTGGTTAGTTGGTCCAACATCTTGTCTCTTACGACAGCCACAGCTCTCCAGAAGCTTCTCGACGAGTCGTGACAGGGTCAGTGTTTCAAGCTTGTCCCACCGGATCTCGAAGCAGCTTCCTTATCAACCGCCACTCAACGGGTTAACCTGTATGGTTACAGGCGGCTCATCCGGCATTGGCTTTGCAATTGCAGAACGATTTTTACGCGAGGGAGCAGAAAAGGTGATTCTTGTCGGGAGGAGCAAGAAAAGACTAAGAGACGCTGTGAGGGAGTTAGAAGGAGAATTTCCATTAACATCCCACGACAACCTCCCGCAAAATGACAGTGTGGATATTCACGACACAGCAGAAAGGGCGACCCGGCCCGTCCAAAGTATAGAATATGATAACGTGATACACGATCAACCGCGCGAAGTCAGCATTGCGGCTGCGAAGGACTGTGAAATATCTCACATCGGTCAACACTTCACACTTGCCGTTGGGGATGTTGGGAACCCGGCATTCTGGGGTGATGAGATTAAAAAACTAATGGTATATATTATACATTTCTTCTTTCCATAAGCAAAAAAGAAAAAAAAAGAAAAGAAAATCTCCCTTTTCTATATAGTCCCAAATACAAACATAAAATCACTCTACAGGACACGGTCGACATCCTCATTAACGCCGCTGGAATCTCCTACACCTCTCTCCTCCCCATAGCTAAGGACGAGGACATCACTGCCATGATCCACACAAACCTTCAAGGTACAATCTTCGCCTGCCGTACCATGGCGCGACGCGCAATGCGGTCCCATTCCCGCCAAAAGTTCACAAATGCCAATGGTGATAATACTTCCTTCACAAAATGCATAATTAACATATCATCCCTCCACGCGACGAAAGGCGGCGTTGGAGCCGCGACTTACGCTTCCACGAAGGCAGGCGTGGTGGCGCTGACGCGCGCAATTGTAGCAGAGAGCGCTGGCGCACGGCAATGGGCAAGGTTGCGAGCCAATGTTATTGTGCCGGGGTATATCGAGACGAAGATGGTTGATGGTATGATTGACTTCTCTTCTCCTTCGTCATTTGCTTAGTGTAGGACATGGCTAACGCCAGTGAATTTAACTCAAGATCTAAAAGCGACAGTGAGTGAACAGGCTCTGCAGGCGATTCCGCTGCATCGTTTTGGCACAGTGGAAGAAGTTGCCGATGCGGCGGTTTTCCTCGCGACGAATCAATATGCAAATAACTGTGTGTTGAATCTGGATGGGGGGCTGAGTGCGGTGTGAGAAGTAAAAGTCGTATAATCAATGGAGAGGAGCAAGGGATTGCGGTTGAATGGGATTCACAAGTCCCTGGGCCTTATGATTTTGGTCAAACGGGCTGCCCAAGCAGATGCAGTGGCCAATGATTTACTGAAAAACTGTCTATCTCCCGGCGGAGTAAAGCCATCTTAGTCCTGGTCTTCGTTCTGCGTGAGCAACATAGTATGTGTAACCACTGAGCACAAAACTAGCTCTCTAATCTCCTTTCCCCACCAGTCCCGACTCTAATTCACCCGCAGAAATGCAATGAAAACTTGTAAAGTGCAGAGGTGAGGCAAGGAAATATGAAAAATGAAAATCCGCCAATCCATACCCAAAGGCCTAACCAGCCATATGCCCCGAGAAGATCAAGATTACAAAAATAAACGTAATATCAAATCAAGAAAAGAAAAGAAAGCAAAAGGGAAACAAAGAAGAAAAAGAGGGGTATAAGAAAAGAGGAAAGGGGAACAATAAATCCTTCGCTCTGATGCAGGCTTTGTTTCCATCTTTTTCCTTTTTCTTTCCGTTGCTGAAAAGACGGAAATGGCACCTGTTCCATGATATTGGGATGGATAAAGGCGAGTGAGGAAGAAGCCTGCATATGTCTTACTTGCGATCGAATGCAATGCTACGCGTCGCTGGATATTATGGCGCTTGTTTAATTTATTTCTTTTGTATAATACATACAAACTGGCTGAATTTTCAGTCCTCATCGATCAGAATAGTTCCAGAATCATCTTCTAGGATGATAGGTTTTTCAGCGAGATCACCGTCACCATCCGCCACGGACATTGTCGCAAGGCGCTTTGTCGGTTTATCTTCTTTATCGTCTGGATTTTCGTCTGCTTCGCGCTTCCGTTTTCCCGTGGCAGTTCCGTTAGTAGTAGAAGTGGCGCCGTTCGTATTTAAATCCATATCAAGCTGCGGTTTTCTGGGAATGTCAGGTTTGGATGGTAAAGAAATGGGTTGTGTGGTTGGGTCAGTGGACGGTCTAAATAACAATTAGATTTGTCGCAGACAGTAGAACAAGGACTTAAGTAACGATAGATATTCTTACCTCTCAGAAACAAGCAAATCCAGGTTCACTCGGGTATTCTCATCCTCCTCATCAACAACAGTGAGGAAACTGTCATTGGAGACTCCTAAATCTTTAAGTTTCTTCGGCAGGTTGTCATCGAGATCTGGATCGTAGATGGTTCCTATCTGGTTATTGATTGAGAGCTCTTCGCCATACCCAAGCTGCCCACGAAGAACGTCCTGGACTAAATCGTCTAGTGTAGCTCTTTCGAGGTCAATGGAAACCCTTCCTTGCGCTACGCTGCAGACTGGACACTGAGGGTTAGGGGAACTCAGATTTGCAGTATTTATAGCACGGACGCCTGATCGCTCGAGGAAGACCTATTTCGCCGTAAGCAATCGTTTGAGATGTACGAAAGGGATCTCTGACCATTTTTGCTTTGTCATATTCGTCCTTCAGTACCTTAAACGCCTGTAAAACACATATTGCTGCCGTCATGGCATTTGTCGTGGCAATTGCTGGTATGATATTCCCAGCCATCTCTGCTCGCGGAGTTCAGCACATTGGTGCCCAAGTTGACGAGACGCTTGTTTCAGTACTCACGTTTTATCTCAAATTTCGATTTCATTTCGATTCCAAATATGTAAGATCGGAGATTTGCGCTTGCCGTGACGAAATCGAGGGTGTCCACATCATCCTTATCGAAAGCTATCACAGGTTTATATCCATCTGTAACTGCAGCTTCGAGCTCCTGCAGCCTCCTTGAAAGACGACCAAGGCTATATAATGTTAGTTCCTCGCTCTTTAAAATATCTGTAAGCACCGAAAGAGATAGCAGTACCTGTCTTTGAAGACTGCGAAATTTTCTACCAGGCTCCAAATCTTCTGGTCATCCGAACAAATAGTTGAGTCCACTGCGGTCGCTTCTTGCTGAAGGGGATCAAATGATAGAGGCTGGGGCGGTTTCCTAGTTTTCCACATGTCCTGCATCTTCCGTAGGCGGTCTACATCCTCATTGAAGACTTTTGTGAACACTTTTTCGGCAAATCCATCAGATCCCATTGATTGGCGAATGGATAGCAACGCTTGAGCCTCTCTTTGCAAATTTTGAATCTCCTCCGCTGAAAAGGAAATACGTCAGTGTTCAGGAAGAATGAATTATAGGTGTTCCAAGAACGGGTATACCATTTTCGGCATCCTCAGAATGGTCGAACTCCTCTGGATCGCTTTCACTTTCCCCAAACAGCTCTCTAGTAACTTGTTGTTAGCTTAGTTCAAAATAGCTACCATCAAGATAAAAAGAGGCTCACGGTAGTAGATAGCTCTTTGCCCAAACTATGCAATGTATGGATTGGCTGGGAGTACTCCGTATCGTGCAAACTGGGAATGACTTGGGCACTTGTTTCGCATTGCAGTCATAACACTCAGTACGTCCCTACCAAGTGTAAGCCATTACGCCCACGATAAGAAATCACCGTATATCTACCTTTTTTATGACCTGCACCTGACCGTTAAACCCTGTGGTGCCGCTCTCAATCAGAGGAACGTTTGCCGCTAGGCACATGCGATTGACGTATCTGCGCGCATCTAGATTGTCCAATGCATTGAACACGATATCGAACGACTCAAAGAATTCAACATTGAATTGTGGATCTTTGATATTGGCATGATACGCGTGGAGGGATACGTCTCGCCGGAACTTGCTAGCGACTTCTTTTGCGACCTGGATAGCGAGAAAGTATAAGGTTAGCTATGATGCAAGCACGATAAGATGAACAATACATACTAATGACTTTGGTTTTTTTATGTGTTCTTGTCTGAAGAGGAACTGTCTGTTCAGATTGCTGAGATCTATTGTGTCGAGGTCTACGATGTGGATTTCTCCGAAACCAGTAAGGACTAGGTTTTTCAGCAGCTCACAACCAATGCCGCCTGCACCAACTAAAAACACGCGGGACTAGGTAGAATAGATAAAAGTCAGTCCGAACGAACCTATTCCACGGCTGCTATCTGTTAACAAACCTTTCTAATCTTGGTCAACAGAGAACCCAGCGGCTGCCTTTGGAGCTTATCCATGCTTGGGGTGGAAGAACTTCCATGCGATCTGGGAGATGTCGTGATGGGAAATGATAGTTATGGATGTCCTATAGGAATCAAACGCCAAAAT